GTATGTGGCTGTATATATGTCTTTTTTTGTGTTGAATGGTACATGCTGTGTGCATGAGAGTATTTTCCAGGGGGGGTGGTGTCTAGCAGTTAGTGTGTGTGTGTGTGTGTGTGTGTGTGTGTGTGTGTGTGCACCTGAGCGGGCTTGTGTGGGTGTGTGGGCCTGTGTGTGTGTGTGAGAATGAGATAGACAATTGGTATGCTCCAGCACGTGATGTGGCCTCAACCACCACCCATCATGACGACCAGCCAAATACCATCATCTATGTATTCCCGGACAGCCCTCAATATGAATATCCTGCACGTGGCAGGCTCTGAACCACCACACATCATGAAGACCAGCCAATCATTATCTATTATCCCCGGATAGCCCTCAAATGAGTATCCCTTTGAGACAAAGTTTCAGCCAGGGTAGAAATCGACAAACTCCCAAGGATGCATTCCAATGCTTCCCAGCCTAGTGCATCATCAAGCATATGACGCAGGTGACCCCAACATGCATAAACAAAGGCTATATATCATCGCACAACACAATGTACAAGAATAACAAACAGGTAATGGCAGACAGTTTCATCAGACTCTCACCGGCTCTTCAGGAGGCTGAGCTCTCAAACAGTCTGCAGAATCCCTGCATTGATGCTTGAGTTACAATCTACTTTAACCCTAGCAGTGAGTAGACAGCCAGGCATGTGACACCACACACATCCAGGCAGACAAGCAGTAAAGTCAAGTGGCAAGGAAGCAAGAAGGCAAGCGGGTGAACAGCAAGGCATGACAAGGCAAGCGGGTAGGCTGCCAGGCAGCACGGCAACAGTAAAGCACAGGATGGGAGAGTGGGGGGGGCAGGCGGGCAAAGCAGGCAGCAGGGCAGGGAGCAAGATTCAAGCTGGAGAAATGGTCGAGTTTTCCAGTGGTGTTAAAGGAATGGCACTGAACTAGAAAATGAGACTGTAGGAATTGTGGTTTTTGGTAGTGATACTGCCATTAAAGAAGGAGATATTGTCAAACGTACTGGATCTATTGTAGATGTTCCTGTAGGAAGATCTATGTTGGGTCGTGTTGTTGATGCGTTAGGAGTAAAGCAGGCAGCAGGGCAGGGAGCAAGGCAACAAGGCTGGCGACCTTATGGCTGAGACAGACAAAGTAGGCAGCAGCAGGAAAAGCAGCAGAGTGGCAGGGGGACTCCAGGCAAACAGGTGAGCAGCATGGAAAGACAAGGCAAGCAAGTGGGCAGCCAGGCAGCACCGACAAGGCAGTCCACACATCGAACACGGACCGAAGTAGATCATCGCCTACACCACAAGTATAGCACTGCAGACTGTAGGTTCACAATACCATGAGAGTCAGGGAGTCACTTCAATGAATGCCTGTCATCACCAGGGAACAGTCATGCACACAGGCGTCCTGAACACAGGCACACAGGCATCCTGATCACAAATAGTGTTGCAGGCATTCCATACAGTAGTACCCGTCTAGTAGTAGTTGAGGGAATTTGCATAAATGTCCCTGTCGTTTTTTCAGTTACCGGTCAGGACCCAGAACTCAAAAATAGTACAACAGCCCGCTGAGAAACTGCAAGAACATTGCATAAGTATCAGGGTAAGAGGTGTGTTGGTAGCTGACTAGACAGATCAGGGAAAGAGGAGTGTTTAAAGTGGACATATCAGGGAAAGAGGTGGGTTGTTGGGAAGTGTTGAAAGAGGTGGGTTGTGGGAAGTGTTGAGAAAGAGGTGGGTTGTGGGAAAGAGGAGTGTTGAAAGTGGACATATCAGGGAAAGAGGAGTGTTGAAAGTGGACAGATCAGGGAAAGAGGTGGGTTGTTGGGAAGGATGCGACCATAAGAAAAGACACACGAGACGAGTCATCCATCACTTGAGCAGAGATAGGCAGAAGCATGAGGGTTGCACTACAAGCGCCATAATCATGCAAGTATGTATCCTCTGTGAAAGTTAAAGCGTAGTGCATCTTTGAAATCTTAATGTGAATGATCGTGTGTGTGTGCTCACATGTACGCACGAGTGCCTTGGTGCGGTTAGTTCTTTTCTGGATAGTAGCGAAATTTGAGTGAGGCTTGCTGGACAAATGATAGGAGCTGTGTGTTTGTGCAAGCAGCTGTAATTGTCATTTTTTATGGGAAGGATTGCTGTGCTATGTCGGAAAAAGATCAAAATGGTTAGAAAATAGAAATGACATAGAATAGTTAGAAATGTCAGAAAATGGTTAGAAAATGATAAACGTTTTTCAAAAATGTTAAAAATGGTTGCATTGGTATGTATTCTACACAATACAGGAATTGGAACTTAGCGGGAATCATTGGACAAGAGGTGGGTGTTAAGTATGGATAGCCAGATGTCGCTGATCTGGGAAGCAGTGCAAACACATCAAACTATGCCAGGGGTCATGAACTGGTTGGATAGCAATGTCATGGGTGATTGCCGTTTGTTTGTTTGTTTGTTTGTTTGTTTGTTTTTCAAACCAAACACAGCCCCTTCTATCCTGGGGGGCATCAGTCCGGTTGCTTATCACCGGCAAGAATGTATCCACAGCATAGAAGAGGCGGGGGAGAGGGGAGGGGGAAGGGAAAACAGGAAAAGACTTAGAGAAACGGCTTTACCCTTGCGGCCCTAGTCACCTGCCTAAGGGGGGGACTGGAACAACCCACACCCCTCTCCAGACCCTGGCTGTTTGACCTCCTCATATGTGATTATATTCTTCGAGTAGTGGTGACCGTTATTGGTTAGACTTGTGTCATGTCCCCTCACATGGTTGTTTTATATCTTAATTAAGTCCCATGCATTGGTGATGGGAGAACAGAATGGAAGAGAAGTTCAAAAGAGACAGAACAGACAGTGCCATACACAAAGTTGGTTCTGTAATATCTGTATGGTTGATTTGCTTTTCTCATACTGCCCTGGTGATAAGGCCTTCTTGTGAATTTTGATTCTGTCTATTTGATTCCATGTGCAGGTTGTTCTGAATCGCACAAAAACTCTGGTGACACCGTCGACATGGTGGGCAGGAGGACATCCATCATCTGAAAGGGTAGTGTAGCATCCTATGGGCTTTCACACAGCCCCTTCTAGGCCTGTCAGTTCTTTTCTTGGCCCCCAGGCCGTGCAGGCCTCTTGCTGCACGACTTGGAGGCCACGGCCACTTTTTAGCCCCGGGCTCATATTTTGCCCCATTTGCTTTTCTTTTATTCAGCATTTATATTTATATATTTGTTTTTGATGATTGAATTTGGGGCTGAGTTTTGTCTGTTCTATTTTTTTCTGACTCAGATGTGTCGTTTCCGACTCGACTCTTCCTTTTGGCTGGACAGGCAGGTGCCTGTTCGGACCGGTGGATTTCAGTTTAGGCCGTAGTAGGCCAGGTTCAGATTTGTCCGCATCTGGGACCGGACCATACATTCGTCTATTTGTGCCTGGCCCAGTCCTCAGGACCCTGCTGCTTCAGCAGGGTTGCTTGGACGTCCGGTAGGGACCCAGGCAGGCCATTCTAGGCCAGGATCATAGGACAAAGACTTGGGCCTGCGAATCAGGACCGCTGATTGGACTCTAGATCGGACGGTCATGATTGCAGACCGTAGGGAGTCCAGCCAGGCCCAGCGGTATATTACTGGGCCAGTCCTCCAGTTTGAGGAAATTCAGCTGAAGCTCATCATTGGGCATCACGCCGCTGGAGAGCAGCGCCAGTTTGGGTCGAGCTGCACTAGAGTAGCAGTTAGAGGAGTCGGAGGTAAGGTAGGAGTGCGGAGGCTGATGAGCCATAGCCGGTAAAGAGAGGTGGAGACAGACCTGGGCGCCATAGCTGGGACTTCGCTCCAGCTACCTGCATTAGAGGGCCACCATCTTTGCTGGTCAGTGCTCGTGAGCATCATCAGACCCAGGTGAGAGAGAGAGAGAGAGAGAGAGAGAGAGAGAGAGAGAGAGAGAGAGAGAGAGAGAGAGAGAGAGAGAGAGAGAGAGAGAGAGAGA